ATGACCACCCCATTGATTTATCGGTGCCTCCAAGTCGCAATCCTCACACCACCGGCATGTGGCTGATATTGAAGGTCCTGAAAATAATTAAATTAGATTTAAAAAATTCGCTTAATGTCAACTTACCAGCAAAAGTCTAGCTTGCTTCATCATGGGGGCGGCGGGATCTCCAGCCTTTCGTTTGGAGGCTCTCTTGGAGCTGGGTGTTTGGGTGGTGTTGGATAGCCCCCTCTGCTTTAAAAATCCCACCACATTGGTTACAGATCTTGGAAGATGATTAGCAATCCCATGACGTTTCAGGTTATCTCCTTCCTGGTGAACGATTTTGTGCACAAAATTAAAAATTCGCTGTTTATGGAGGTTTGTTTTAAAATAAATGAAAAAATAAAACCAGTTTAAATTGGTTAAAGAACCTACCTAAATTTTAGAAAAAGAAATTTGAGTTTTGTGCAAATGTAAGTGTAAAAGTAAATTCAAGTTGCTCCGAAAAAAACTATTGGAATTAAATTAAGAAATAGGTACTCAGGGTTGTCTGTATTTTTAAAAAACAAACAATATGTTTATGTGTTAAGGAAAATAAAAATAATTCAATAATCGAGGTTTGTGTTAATTTAAAATATGTCTCAGGGCATGATTTATCCTACATCACTTAGATATTTAAAAATAGTACTTACAGTTTTTCGAAACCGACACTTATCGCACAAGAAACTAAACTTTGAAAATCCAGGTTCAAAGTACTGGTACTGGATGCTGCGTTTTTTGTACAAAGAATAAAAATTGAATCCTCATCTTTTACAGGTAACAATGTATCCACTGAAATTTTGTATTGCATAGGGTTATTGGCTAATAAAATGTCAACGATGCTAATTTAAATCTATTCTTTTAAATTTTGATAAATCGATTGAATTTGTCACCTTTTTTAAAATAAAAATGGACATATCAAATATCTAACTTAATAATTACGCCTTAAACTAAAAAATTATCTTTAAAATGTGTTGTTGTTTTTCTCGGGCGATTTCTGCGAACGGTCCTGATATAATTCAGATAAAAAACTGCCGAATAAGCGTTTACATTTGACGGTGCTTTTGTATGTGATATCAAAGTTTAAATCGGATTTTATAATAACAAGCTTCTTTCAGTTTGCTCAAACTCGTCACTAGTGAAAAATATAAAATTATTGCACAACAATTATCATTTTAACCAAGTAAGTAAATATCTTATATACTAATATCAATCAACAACAAGACCTGTTTTTTTATAGCAAAGGATTAAAAACACTGAGAAAATTACAAGACCTGAAGCCTGATAGAGAGTGAAATTCCCAATATTTTGACAGCGTTTTTTGTATGTGATTACTTCGAAGTTTAAATCGGATTTTATAATAACTAAGCTCTTTTAGTCTTGTTTGAAACTCGGTGAACTATAAAATTCTTGCACAACAATTATCATTTTAACCAAGTAAGTGAATATCTTATATATACTAATATCGATACAATTATGGAATATTTTAGATATGGATTTGAAATCAATCAACAAGGCCTGTCTTTTTATAACAAAGGATCAAAAACGCTGAGAAAATTATAAGACCTCGTATAAAGTGAAAGTTCCCAATATTTTCTACGATAGAGACCTCAAAATAATTGCAAATCTTTACTGGAACCAATAAACTATACAAATTAAGGTACATCAACAGATGTCAAGCGAAGTTCGAATTTAAAAGGGGTGCCCACAGTGTTGTATTCTTTCTTTCTCGTCATTATAAAACTATTGCACAGCAATTATTATTTTAACCTAGTAAGTAAATATCTTATATACTTAGGTAATCGATACAATTGTGGCGTATTTTTAGCTATGGATTTGAAATACTCGTTGTATTTGACGACAACGCATAGTGTTTCTCCCAAGACGTACCACCAAAATGATTGGAACATATTAAGCAGTTTATTGATGGAAAATATTCGCTTTTTGAAATCGTTGTTCTAAAAAATGTATGTTTTTAATAAAAAAAACGAGGCCCCTTCCCCATCAAATGTTGGTTCCAACCAAGGGTAATACACACTACTACTACAGGATAGCCTATCCTCATAAGGCCTGTGTGGAACAAATCCACTCTCTCCCCAACGTTAAATCACCAGTTGTGACGTAAGCAGCATGTTATTTCTCGCCTTGACGTAGGTTGTTTAAACAGCTGATGGCTTAGTTATGGCGTCGTAAATGGTAACACACGAGGTCAATAAGCAATCCTGTAGGTGTGTTTCATCCTTGAGTTCGAACACCCTCTACCAGGTACAACATGAAGCTAGCTGCTGGACCCTCATAGTTACGTCACCACCACAGCATCCTGTTATAAGACACATCGAACTTGTCACATGTGCGCTAGATGGTGCCACCGACACAAACTGACGTAACCCACGTGAACCAGGTCGAACCATGAATCGAACTTTGCACTATGTACTCTAGATGGCGCCACAGACGTGACCCAGGTCGCTATGACGTCATCACAGAACGCGAACCCTGAATCGAACTATGTACTCTAAATGACTCCACGGACGTGACCCAGGTCGCTATGACGTCATCACAGAACGCGAACCCTGAATCAAACTTTGCACTATGTACTCTAAATGACTCCACGGACGTGACCCAGGGCGCTATGACGTCATCACAGAACGCGAACCCTGAATCAAACTTTGCACTATGTACTCTAAATGACTCCACGGACGTGACCCAGGGCGCTATGACGTCATCACAGAACCCGAAACGACTCGGAACAATCCCTTCCACGCACACTCCATATTACAGGAACCTGTAATTACCCGAACCATTCCTGTCGATCAATTGCAAGAATTCACCACACTCACGACAGATGGCGCCATGATGTTTGACAAGATGGCGCCGACGATGCATCCACCTTCGTGTCAACGGCGGCGCATCCACCACGTGTCAAGAATGAAAGATTGAGGTTATGGTCGGATTTTTGTGGTTGAATCCCCTTTGATTATCTACTGCTGGGGTTGCCAAGCAGCATAGAAATTTAATTTCTACCACCTCGACAGGTGTTAAACTGCTGGATTAGCCTAGCAGCATAGAAATCAAACTTCTGACATCTTGACAGGAGTTAACAAAGAAACAAAGTGACGTTTTTCTGACGTTTGGAGAAAAAATAACTATTTCCTCTTTTTAATTTATTTAATTGGCGTGAAATTGCGAAATGCTGCAATTTCGCACACTGTGAATAAGGCTTAACAAATGAAAATTGATTTACAAAATGGTTGCTATCAATGACGTTGCTATGTGGTAAAGTGTTGCTATCGAGGTAAAGTGGTACTTTACCACTCAATTTTGAATGCAGTTATGTATCACATTACTGTCAAAAATGCGATAATAGTTATTTACCTAACAAATGCGGAAAGTGATACTTTACCGCACGCAACGGCAGTTGACCGAACGACGCGGAGCGGAGTTCGGTCAAGCCGTTAAAGGCGGTAAAGGCACTTTCCGCATGTGTTAGGTACAAAATTTTACCTATGAGCATCTACATCTCTAAAAAATGGCATTGATAAAATTAATTAATGAATCAGATTAATTAATGAAATAAGATTAAGTTGAGAAATGATCAAAAATCCATTTTCTGAAAAAGAAAGGAATTTTGATTATAAATATCAAATTCTACTTTACCGCACACTATGCGGTAAAGTGCACTTTACCGCACACTTTGTAGTCCACTTTACCGCATACTATGCTGTAAAGTTAACTTTACCGCACACTATGCTGTAAAGTTAACTTTACCGCATAGTGTGCGGTAAAGTGATACTTTCCATTTCCAAATACGTGCGGTAAAGTGCACTTTACCGCACGCTCGTAGGTAATAGTTATTTACCTAACAAATGCGGAAAGTGATACTTTACCGCACGCAACGGCAGTTGACCGAACGACGCGAAGCGGAGTTCGGTCGAGCCGTTAAGGGCGGTAAAGGCACTTTCCGCATGTGTTAGGTACAAAATTTTACCTATGAGCATCTAAATCTCCAAAAAAGACATTAATAAAATTAATTAATGAATCAGATTAATTGATGAAATTAGATAAGATTTAGAAATGATCAAAAATCCATTTTCTGAAAAAGAGGGGATTCTTGATTATAAATATATTAAATTCTACTTTACCGCACACTATGCGGTAAAGTGCACTTTACCGCACACTTTGTATTCTACTTTACCGCATACTATGCTGTAAAGTTAACTTTACCGCACACTATGCGGTAAAGTGCACTTTACCGCATAGTGTGCGGTAAAGTGCACTTTAGTAGGTAAAGGATTTTACACACTTCTCTGTGGTTTTTTTAATGACTGAAGCTTTTTTTTATATATGTTTTATTAGTGTCTATTATACATATAGTTTTATTGTCTATTATATACATTTAGTTCACGTGCTTTGTCAACAAGATTGTTATTTCTTATGGCAATAAAGCTTTTTTTGACTTTGACTTTTGACTTTAACGTCAAATTCTTCACGACACGTTAACAGTTGGAAAGACCTGTCCTTATTATAATAGATTTTATGAAGTATGAGGTTGTGTTGGGAAGTTGAAAACTTTCCATGGAAATTCAGAGCTAGAGCCTACCACAGATCTTACTATCATTTAGATAGAGCGATTCTGGGTAAAGGGCCAGCGTTTTATCTCCAAGTAGAGCTATCAAGGACCTAAGCCTAAAAAAAAAAACACTAAAACGGATTTTTTTAAATTTATTGCAACATACAAAACATTATGTACAAATTTAACTTAAAGTTATGTTTATCAGAGAAAAGAACCTCAAAAAACCCGGTTGACGCTAAAACATGTATAATGACTATAAAGTTCAAGATTCTTTTCGCGAAAATACAGCCTACATTATAACACAACTTTTTTTTTGGCAATACAAAATGACTAATTGCACCACTAGGGCCTTTATCAAATTTTCTGGTAACAAAATAATTCAATTATTTTTAGTACACGCATTTTTTTTTTAAGTGAAACTGGAAGTTGGTTTAAGATCAAAATCTATGTCACATTCCAATTCGTTTTCGGACAACGACAGTGAACCGCCTGCCCGACGCCCTCTGTGTTCTTCTTTCGGAACCTATGCAGATAAATTAATTAGTAATAATTGAAATTTTAATTATTTTGTTCCCAAGCAGAGCAAAAATCCCAAAAAGCGCACCAATAAAGAATAGTAAATAGTTACCAAAAGAAAAACAATATTAATTACAGTGCTGTGTTAGGATAGAGCTAGTTCGCCAGAAGATTCTTCTATAGTATTGCCATGCCAACTCATTTGACGCTCATATTGCTGAAGAAAGTTAGAGCAAATCAAAAACCAGTCAGAATTGTTAAGTTTGTGAGTTAAATTGAAACAAACCTGATTTTGTTAAGTTTAAGCAAGTTGGTTAACAAACAATACACGTTATATTATAGAATCATATACAGGGTGTTTAAAAAAGACGCGGCAATATTTGAGGGGGTGATTCCTCAGGTCATTTTATGGAAAAAAGTTCCCATAAACATAGGTCCGGAAATGCATTTTTTCCAAGATACAGGGTGTTAAAGATTTTTTTAAAATAACGTTTTTTTTTAAAATAATTCAAATATCTTCTCACCGATTTTTTTGAAAATTGGCAGCGTTGTTTTTAGTAATTAGGGGCTAGTTTTGCCCTAACTAGATAATTTTTTTTAACTCCAGTGGCGTTAGGGGGGGCAATTTAATAAAATTTATTAACGAAAAAATGTACGCCACTGACTTTACTTTAATTTCGATTTTTCTTTCAGATAAATCAACTAAAACTGCAACTTTTTTGTCTCTTAAATTTTTCTCGTATCTTGCTTCGTTTACAAAATAAAAAATGAAAACTATTTTCTTGTTTGTCCATTATGATACAAAAACATTACAAAAACTGTTCAAAGTGACCACCCCCGGCGTGGATGCAGGAATCCAATCTTCTCCTCATTGACTGGCGAACTCTCTCAAAAATACCAGGGTCATTTCTAATTGAGTTACACCCACCAATGATTTGAGCTCTTAGGTCTAATCTTTACCACCCTGTATCTTGCAAAAAATGCATTTCCGGACCTATGTTTATGGGAACTTTTTTCCATAAAATGACCTGAGGAATCACCCCCTCAAATATTGCCGTGTCTTTTTTAAACACCCTGTATATGGAAACGGAAACAGGAAACACATTTGTCAGAATTGAAAAGAATTCCAACTTCAGATATTTAATAAAAATCAATTGACAATAATTAACAGAACTCACATTAGAGAATCCGCCTGTTGGTTCTGACGCATAACCACCTCTACCTTCGTCCTCATCTTCAGTCTCTGATGAGCTGGGTGAAGAACTTTCTTCTTCGTAGGGTCTAAAATTGAACTTCATTTTAAAAAAATATTCACTCAAACTCAAAAAACCTTTACCTAGAAACTTTACAAACCATTTGAGCTAAATCAGTGAAAGTATACTGTTCTTCGCCAGAAGACTTATGCCTTTCAGTTTTAAACGTAGGTAAATTGCCCGCACGGCTTTGCCCTTCAAAATAGGCCTTGCCATGCAAGAAACCCACTTCTTTAATTTCGTCAAAACTACCAAACTGCAACGTTTTATACTTGTCTATCGGAGGCCTGATGTATTCACAATAATCGCTATTTTTAACTTCTTCCAGTTGCCTCACGCAACTAACATAGGCTAATCTAGATTGTATATCGGGTAAATTTGGTACTCTGACAGGCGTTGTAAACGGGTTCCAACGTTTCCATAGGAGCCACCATCCGGATAGGACGTCACCGTAATTTGTTAAATCTTGATTGTCTACTGAACCCACATCAATGGCTAGGATGTGATCGGCACCCATACTTCTCATGACGTCAGCTAGAAGGAATTTGAGTTAAGGATTGATTTTTAATAGTCGTATTTCCAGAGTATTATATTTTAACACAGATAGATGGAGTTTTAAGAAAATTCATAAATTTATACAAACAAGATAGTGGATGATGAGAAGCAACCAATAAGGTGTATTGGGGAGGGAAAGCTTAACTGTACGGAGTGGCGACAGGATATGAATTACATTAGCTTTTTGGTTTTATATTTTTTCTCTCCTCATTTCCAAATTAATTTTCACATTCAGTACGTTGGAAGGAATATTTAGGGGAATCCTGGAACCCCCACTCAAAGAAATTCTTGGGATACCTTCAACTGCGTCTGCGTTATGTAGTTCACCATGTTTACACAGGATTTCGCAACAATCGGTCCAATATACAGGTGTTGATGTAAAAATATCCAACTAAAGTACTAAAAAGTGCTATAAAACGAACCCAACTTAGCCATGAAGATTTTGAATGAAGGCTAGATAAAAAAAAATGAATGATTTGAAACCCAATCACAACTTTTTGCCACCGAGAAAATATGAATGAAACTAGCCAATGTAGCCATCTATCTGCGTTAAAAGTTTGATTCTTTAATGCTGATTAAGTAAATTTATTACCTGGAACGTTATTAATATAACATCCATCGACTAACATATGACCATCCTTGGGATCACAAAGTGGGGGAAATATGCCCACAATCGACATGGAAGCCCTCACATATCGCCAAAGCGAACCTGAATTACATAATATAGGAAAGAAATTGAGCTAAATCTAGAATAAAACTATTTTTTTACCGAATCGATTGTGATTGGTTCACCAAAATGTACGGCATACCTATCTACAAAAAGTGGGTGTCGTACTGATGGTTAATCATAGAAACAATCTAAGCAAAACAAGCTTTACTAGAAAATATTGTGGAAGTTTCTTACCTTTGGCGGATATGTCTTCTTGGGCGTCCAATGTTATTTTTATACAAAATTGTTAGTTGACAAACGAAAATGGAATTTAAGGAGGGTATTTGTTTGTTTACGAAAAAATGATATTCCAAACCCGATAAGAATTTTGAGTATATTTACAAGAAATTATTTTATGTGCAATTTTAGCTCATAATTATTTTTGTTAACCTAACAACGGAAAATGATCAACTACAACACAAATATCTGAAAGTTGGAAGGTCATATGTTGGTCGAGGACATAAGATGGCATTATTTTTACGTTACCTGGTAAATTATTGGTGTATCCTCCGTCCAATAGAAGATGACCATCGTGAGGATCGCACAATGGAGGCATGTAGCCAGAGAGTGACATTGAGGCGCGCACGTAGCGCCACAGCGACCCTACGGCAAGTCCAAGCTTAACTACTCGTATCCAAAATAATATTTTTGAATGGTAGAGAACGCAAACAAGATTAATGAAACTTATTCAGGATGATGCAAACTAAAACTCCGTAATGAAGCATTGAATAATGCAGCTATGATTTAAGTCGGAGAGCCAGCGCCAAAAAAGTGCAAGAGTTTCATGAAAGCTGAAAATTTAATAAGCTTGTATTTGTGACGTACAGAGAAGGTGTAAATACAAAATTTGTAGCATTTTTATCTGAACCGTCAGAATTTTGAATAAGATTGAACAAATGAGCAACGCAAAGTGGAAAAATAAGTCGATGTTCACTTTTTTAAATGGAATGCCCTCTATTTTCTTTCAAATTCTTAAATTTCTCGTTGTTCTGAGTCAGAATATATAATATGTTAATATTTCTTTCAATAGTTTTGGAAATATCTGGAGTTTAGTTATTCAAAGACAATAGTTTTTGAATAGATTTTACCTTGTCACCTGTCACAAAACATTCTGATAAGTGAATAGGTCTCTGAATATACAATGCTGTGAATTCTCCCATACGAGCAGCAACGTATTTGAGTACCCAAACTAACAAAATTTCCTTTTTTTGTCACCTGTGTGGGTGGCTAGATATTGCTACCTTCGGTAAGAGAGAAAAATTCTTAAAAAAAAAAAAATAAGTGCAGTGAAGAACAAATAGATCCGGGGGGAGGCGGCTCCCTCCTAGTAAATTTAAATATTGAAGAAATTGAAACGATTTTGGGTATCAGTAAAAATCGGGGGGTGATTAACTGGTCAAAATCCATGTACAAGTTGGTCGAAATCCCAGAAAATCTCATAAGATCTACTCAAAATCCCTAAAAATCTTTGAAATCCTTAAAAATTCAACAAAATCCCACAAAATCTTTTGAAATTGCTTAAAATCTTACAAAATCCAATAAAATTTCATTAAAGCCAAAAAAATCCTGCAAAATCTCATAAAATCATTACCATTCCTAAAAAATATTACCTTTGGAATCCCCAAAAATCTGTTAAAGTCTCGCAGAATTCTATAACTTAGTGGAATTTCGAGGAAATACAATTATGTTATTCTGAAAAAGGAATAACATGTGAAATTTTTGTTTTCATAAAATTCACATTAAATTTTAGTTCCTCCCGAATTAGGTACATGAAGTTTCAGTGAAATTCTGATCGAATTACACTAAAACCTAAATGAATTGCATGGAGGAATTCTAAACAATTATATGAAACTAGCTGACCCGGCGAACTTCGTACCGCTTCTGAATTATTAAATATACCTATTAAATGTTTTGTTAACGTATCTATTAGCTGAATTAAATTTAGTTTTTTTCGATAGTGAATTTCGCTTTGGTTGAAGAAAATTAATGTTTAGGTACTCTCTGGATCAGAAGTCACCTAAAATTAAAATTTTACATCATCCTTTTTTAGGCAGCTTTTGGGCGTTATTCTTGTGAAGTGTACCACCAAATAAATAAACTCAGGCACAGGAATGTTCAAAGGATGTAAAGAAAACAAAAAAAATCTATCTCTAGCACAGCCCTGTTTCACTCTATCTGCACTGCACTACTCTATCTGTTCTACTCTATCTGCACTACTCTATCTGATCTACTCTTTTTGCACCACTCTATCTGATCGGAATAGTGGAATAGTTCTGTTCGAAATAGCTCCAGTTCCTGAGCAGCATTGTTCTACTGTATCTGCAATGCCGAGCTTCGTTCCAGGTATCAGAGATGGCGCGGTATACAAAATACAAAATAAACTTGGTATCGGTTATAAGAGATGGCGCCGTATGCGGGCTTAGTAAATTTTTTTCATAAATAAATAATAGCTATTTATATAACAAGTACATAAAGTAAGGCTTTATTGTACGAATAATTTTATGGCCGAGCGAGCTTGCGAGCGAGGCTATTAAATAATGAGTCAGTAAAGCCTGTTTATGTAAGCGTTATATACATGATTTTATGTACGATTACGACTGGTTTTTGTTGAAAATTGAAAAAATTTAATGAAAAAAGTGAAATTCGCATAGGTATACCTGTTTCACCTTGGCAGGTTGTCAGGATCTGTTTAACCTTGGCAGGTTGTCAGGACCTGTTTCACCTTGTCAGGCAGTCCAGGTAGGCAATAAAGTAGCACTTTATTTTACTAGTAAAATAAAGTAGCACTTTATTTTACTAGTACAATAAAGTGCTACTTTATTGACGCGAAACTGTTCTATAAATAGCACTTTATTGGTCAATCGGACATAAAATAAGTAATGAAATGACCACATTAATGACATAACAACATGCTGGTACTGTCAACGCTGAAAAAAAGTTTCAATTTGACAGCAAAATTCCCATTAACAAAATGATCCTCCATTTATTTATTACAAAAAATGTGATAAATGAAGAACCGCTCGACCGATTTTGTGCAAACTTCACATAAACCATCTAATAAATAGTCCGAACAAAGCCTAAACATTTGGTTTGGTTAGGTGAGCCCGTTCTTGAGTTATAAAATTACAACGAAAAGTGGCATTCATTTTTATATATATAGATAGATTACACCGAAATTCCCAACATGAAATTTCAGTTCTTACTGAATTTTAGTAAAATTCCACAAGTGGAATGCCGAGGAATTGCCGGTGATATTCCGAAAAATTCCCATGTAATGACATGAAATTTAATATATAGGGTGGTCCAAAAAAAAACGGAATTTTGTTTTTGAGCTGTAACTTTTTTATTTGTTGACCAATTTTCTTTTGTTTTGGCTTGTTTGAAAGAGAAATGAATAGACTAACGGATCAAGGTAAAACTTTTGACATTTGAAAAAAATCCAAAATGGCGGACTCCTTCAAAAATTGCCTATTTTTGGATAGCGCTGAAACTTTTTTGTGACACCCTGTATAAGTTTTTTTAATAAATTCTGAAAGTTCATCATTTTGCGAACATTTTAAGACCTCGACAGAAAAAATCGGTTGAAAACTAAGTGAAATATTGAATTTTTTGTAATATCGAATTTCAATTTTTTATATTGACAGCAAAATCTGGGATATGCTATTTCAGCTATATTTTTTTTTTCTACTCGACATATTCTTTCGATTTCGGGCTTGTTCGGAAGATAAATAGATAGGGTACGGTTTCGAAATGAAGATTTTGACTGGTTGAGAAAAAATTAAAGATTTCCCAGTTCCTTCAACATAGGCGTTAAGTATTTCTTACAATACGACCAATATTTTTATTTATAAATTTTAAAAAATAAAGTAAACACATTTAAGGAGCGATATGCCCTCCGTGGGTCTCAACAACCTATGCTAAACGTCTACGCCAAGAATCGATAAAATTCGCAATGTTACATTGTTCCAACAGTTCTCCACAACACTCAATGATTCGGTTGCGCAGCTCTTCTAAGTTATTGAACGTAGCCCCACTTCCGTGGACTTTTTCTTCCGCCTTATATCACCCTATAAAAAGTAATCGTAGGGATTCAAATCTGGGCTATAAGGCGGCCAGCGGCCAGTCTCGTTGACTGGCCGCTCTATAAAATTTGCAACTTGCTCTCTTAGATAGTTGACAGTAAAGAATAATTAAAAGTGATTTAATGCTATGTTAAACGGGACTACACATTTGAACTATCCTACTTAATAGATTTAGTGCCCGTGCGAAATCCGAAAAATCTGGTTCAGTGATAGGAAAATTTTCACCTTATCCGGAGTAAAGAATTCGCAAAACGACCAACTACGAATTTCCCTCCAAGCTCGAAAAGCAGATAAAGGAAGAGAAAAATTCAGCAGTTATTTAATGGTAACTAATTGTTATCGACCAAGGGGTTCGCTTGGATTCACGCAAGTATTGTCAGCTTGTGTTTGCCAATTGCTATCCGAAATCAAGGTTGTTTGAGAGAGGTAGGTTGCCTGATAACTTTTATGACGTCATCTGAATGCCTGAACATAATGCAAATCTCCATATGGCACTCTAGATGCGTCATCAAGTTACCCATTACTAGACAACCTGTTAACTTTAGGAACCTTTATCCGAAATTGAACAGCTCACACCTCAAGACTACACTTTTATGCAGGTAATTTTATAACTCACCTAGTTAACATTTATTGTTCTCACAAAACTTTGATAAAATTGTACTTACGTTTTTGTATTTCTCTTTTTATGAGATACCTAAAAGTGATAAATACTGTTCGTATATAAGATGGAGCCAGGTGAAATAATAGCCGCTTTACTATCAACTATCTAAGAGAGCAAGTTGCGGATTTTATACAGCCCGTTGACTGGCCGCCTAATAGCCCAGATTTGAATTCCTGCGATTACTTTTTATGAGGGGATTTGGGAGAAAAAGTCCACGAAAATGGGGCTACATTCAATAATTTAGGAGAGCTGCGCAACCGAATCATTGAGTGTTGGGGAGAACTGCTGGAACAACGTAACATTGCCAATTCTATCGATTCTTGGCGTAGACGTTTAGCATGGGTTGTTGAGGCCCACGGAGAGCATATCGCCTCTTGCCCCTTCAATGTGTTTACCTTATTTTTTAAAATTTATAAATAAAAATATTAGTCGTATTGTTAGAAAACTTATCATTAACTTTTTCAAAATTGGCTATGTTAAAGGAACTGGGAAATCTTTAATTTTTTCTCAACAGTCAAATTCTTCATTTCGAATGCTTATCCTATCTATTTATCTTTCGAACAAGTCCGAAATAGAAAAAATATGTCGAGTAGAAAAAAAAAAAATCTAGCTGAAATAGCATATCTTAGATATTGCTGTCAACATAAAAAATTGAAATTCGATATTACAAAAAATTCAATACCTATTTCACTTAGTTTTTAACCGATTTTTTCTGTCAAGGTCTTAAAATGTTTGCAAAATAATGAACTTTAAGAATTTATTAAAAAAACTTATACCGGGTGTCACAAAAAAGTTCCAGCGCTATCCAAAACTAGGCAATTTTTGAAGGAGTCCGCCATTTTGGATTTTTCTCAAATGTC